CATCCTCAGTTGAAACACAAGTGGAATGCAATAGGCGATTCAAACAACAGCAGGAAAATATTTGCTCAATAATGCAAAAGTTTATTTTTGTATTGTTTTTCACAGCCACATTGTGCTTCACATAAACACATAATGCACAGAAAGAGATTCACAAATAAGAAAAAAACCCCACAAAAAACAAAAGACAAATAAAACCTGATCAATTAATGTTTTAAAACAGTCAGGCTGAGAAAGCGCTCTGGTTTGAATAAGCCTTCAAAGGTGATGAAAATACTGATGCAGCAGACAGACTTCACACCTTCTTCATTTTGGCAGTGACTAGAGTGGAAAAACAGACAGGCAGCAGCTTCAGTTTTTCTCTGTAAATACTTTGCATTTATTTCTGTGTGTTTCTTTTAGCACGACTTACGATCTTTGACCCACTGAGCTTTTGGATCAGCACAAAGTGGTCCCTTTTTTGTGTTAAAACTGGAAATAAAAGACAGAAAATTATAGAGATTGTATATGTTTGTATGTAGGACAACAAGTGCTGACTTACATTATAGCCTTCACACAGTGTCCTCTTGCAGCCTGCTCACGATATGTTTCTCCCACCACCTCAGCAGTCCTATTGTCTTTGTCGACGCCAACGCAGCACGGGCGGTTACTTCCAGGTCCACGGACTCGAGTATCTGAGAGATAAAAGGTTAAAAACTGATTTGTCTTACATCACTAAACAGAAGATGACTTTTAATATGACCTGAAATTATGTTACAGTACACAGGCATTTTTTGTCCAAATCAATCAACAAGTAAGTGGAACAAATCAATGTTCTCATCACTTGAGGACCCTCAAGCACTTTTTAGGCAGTTTTGGCATTATGTTAATTAACTTTGATTTTTATAGTCGTTGGGATTCAAAGAAAAAATGAATGAAAACCAATCCAACTTTGGCCCAGAATTAAGTTTAGCTGTTGCAGGGCTCTCGCACAGATTTTAAAGAATGTTTCTGTCTTGAAATGTCTCTTATTAAAAAAGCATATTACATACTCCTATTTGTGCAGCATGTGGATATTTCTTAAAGAAACTCCGGCTAGCCTGCCCATGCTCCACAGCATACCTATGAAATAGCTGCATAGACATGAAATCAGTGATGGTTTGATCAGAACGCGTCTCCAAGCAGCCTGAAGCTGGACAGATAGTCTCGATATGATAGAGAAAGGTGGATTACGTTGAAATATCCACACGCCGTGACCAAAGGGGAGTTATACGTCTTACATATCGAATATGTAACTGAGTGGAGACAGTCTTGGTATGATAGAGAACATATTCTCAATGTTCTTATGTTAATAACAGACGGTACGTCACTGTTTGCTTTGTGCTGTTATCAGGATCACTCAGAAAGTTTCCATAAATATATTTTAACAGAGGCGAGACTTGATCCAACATTTGGAGATATCATCTGGAATCTGGTTCCTGGAATTTTGCAAGGATGAATTTTTACTTATATTTATTTTCTTAACCAAATTGAATCAAATAGAAATATGAACGGTTGGGAAACATTGTCTTTATGTTCTGAAGATGAAATCTGCTGTACCAAACAAATCCAAACTGATTCTGTCTTAAATTGCTTTTTTTGTTATTATTTGCAAACAAAGCATGTTGATTTCTTTTACAGAGGATGAGAATAGGAACCAACATTAAGCTCCATTTATTAACAATGATTAATATATCAAATGTTTAATCATAGATTTCAAAGTTCAGATGTGCTGATAACTGAATGGTGAAAAATACTGTCCCGTAGCTGCATGATATTATCTTATACTCTCTCTGTGTCTCTCTCATTTTCTGCTTTCATGCCTTATGCAATGAGTCACAATGTATGCACCCCTCCAAAAACCCACTGAAATGATGACTTTGCTAAAAACTAAAATGAAGCAGTAAGATTTAGTTACAGAGTGAATTTGTTTGAAGGAAACCACTGCACCAACTGTGCTACACTAATAAGTTGGCAGTTATGATAGTTTAAGTGTCAACATATGCCTGGCATGCAACGCAGCGTGAGACATAACCCCATAAGTGACAGAAAACAAAAGTAGAAAACATAAATAGTACAAACATTGTTAATGGTAAGCAGTATAGCGTGAATGGATATGGTGTGGCTGTCAGTCAGTCCAGCAATCGAACACAAAAGTCAGGTGAATGTTGTACTTAAAAAAAAAGGAAATCTCCAAGACTTCTTCTAAATGTTGACGTAAAAGACGCCTTTTAAAATGCCATGACTGACTAACAAAACTTAGCCCAGAAAACAGCTTGCAGGAATGCTTGGTGGGTAGAAGTCGAGAGTGAATGCTGGATAAAAAATGTTACAATTATAGACTGAGCAGATACCAGAATATGACTGACGTAAAGGTTTGTGGTCTTTACACAGTGGTCCTGCCCAATAAACCACCAAAATGTCAGAAGTGAACCTTATTCACAAACAGGCAGCAGCCATTGTTGGAGATAGTCATTGCTGCGATCAAATGATCTATTTTATCTCTTTTTTCCTCATTTTTCTGTAGAAAAGTAAGAGCACAGTTACCTTCAGAGGAGTGGCAGCACACACACACCGAGAGCAGGAGGAGAGTGATGGAGAGGATCTTCACAGTCATTTTCACCGGTGGTCTGGCTCACTGATCAGAGTCAAAATCTACAGTTGATTTGTGTTTGGCTATTTATTGGTAAGTGCAGGAACACATGCAGGCACAACTGATGAGGTGTTTTTATAGGTCTGTGTATTTGTTTGCATGGTGTGGCATATCACACCTCCCCCTCTTATCAGGAAGAATTCAGTATTTCAACCGATCAACACCTCACTGAGAGCTTTCTGAGAAACAGCCTCATATACACAAAGTTCAAAGACACTCAGATATGGTGATGATTGTGATAGAGCCTGGTGATTGAGAACAACGGTTTGTGCATTGTAATGAGTAATGAATCTAAATCACCCACTGACTTCTGTTCTTCAGTGATTCATGATTTCCCTAAACAGCCTATATGTACATCTATTAACATTTGCATGACTGGCTGACTTTTATGCTGCTTATTTTTTCTTATAAATTCCCACGACTTTTGCTCGTAATTTAAATTTAATTGTTTCTTGTTTGCATCAAGCTGTTTTACCCCTGGAAACACAAAAGAACTCACTCTTAATGTTTATTTTTTTCATGTTAACTTTTGGCAGATGATCAGATAAGTTTCACACTCTGCTCTGCAGGAAATGTGTGGCAGAAATGTGATCATGTCGACTGTCTTTATCTTCCAACACACACGCAAAGATCAACAGTTTCTAACACAGACTAAATACATCACATGTTAAATGGTTTGTGTATGCATTGCTAATTTCCCCCCTCATAGTTGCATTAGACATTTTATTTCTTTTATTTAGGCTTAAATATGAGGGCATGGCTGTTTGGGGTACTTGGGTTTTTTTTTTTTTTTTTTTTTTTTTAAATGACATCAGAAACAGCAGTATGCGACATTACGTGATGGCAGAGCTTCAGTTCATCCTTTGTCATTTTTTTTTTTTTTTTTTTTTTTTTTTTAGAAATAGGACAGGGGGAATGAATGAGAGAAAGAGGGGGAGAGAAAGAAAGAAAACCAAAGGGGAGAAGAGACGGTGAGAAGGGGGGGGAAACAACAACTCCTGGGTCACCTGTATGGAGAAAAAAAACAAAAACAAAAAAACAAACAACAAAAAAAACAAACAGAGGAGACAGCAAACAACAAAGAGCAACATAATAATAGAGAAAACAAAGCACCATCACAATAAACTAGCTAGTCATAGATATCAATAGTTACTGAATAATAAACGATATTGTGCAGCACGCAAGATAGACAGCGCACAGTGTGCTTTGAGGCAGCAGCCAAGAAAGCTTTAGTCCGCGTCTGTGAATACCCATGTGTACACCTGTGTGCATACCTGTGTGGATCAGCATGCTTGCATTCCAAAGGTTTCTCCATGTAATGATCTGCTAGGGAGTGTGGGGGGGCCACAGCCCCGTCCTCCAGGGTGTGAAGCGGGTATGGAGGAGATCAAAACTCCAGACATCCAGAGGCCCCCAGAACACAAGAGACCACGGAACTTGGGTTCATTTCCCAGTTTATGACCCAACAGGCCAAGCATAAACTTTCTGACAGATGGCCTCACATTTGACCCTGAAATACTGTTCCTGTGGTTGCTGTGCTCTATTTGTGCTCACCTGCTGTGTTTAGTTTCAATAGATGTGATGCTGTGCATTATAGCTAAAAAATGTCTTCTCTGGTCTCATTGGTTCAAAGTTCCAGAAGTGTTTATTGCAGAAAGTCAAGGTACCTTTTCCTGCACCTCATGGATAGGGTTGTGCGTTCGCATGCTGCATATACCACCACATATCTGGATTTTCAGTATGACTTAAAGCAGTTATGACATGGTCTGATTTTCTCACCCAATAAAGGAATATTTCATATATCAGTCTACTCTTCATTCTATCAGACACAGTTATCACAGCTCGTACATTTGCTTTTTACACATATATGTAAGCATTGAGCCAAATTTAGTAATGCCAACAAATTAAAAGAACAATATTTGTCTCTTATATATGATACATCTATATACACACTGTCACAGATACTTGTCTTTGAGTGAAGATTTAAGGTGATAGGAAATATAAATAACTGCAACTTGAATCTTTGACACAGAGTTCAAGCTCACTGCTGTAATATATCATCTGCTAAAATTCTGCTTCTTTCTTTCGTCAGCTGCATGAACTTTGGTAAAAGATAAAGGTTTATAAAAAACCTGGACAGTCTACTCAGTGAGCATCCTCAATTAAAGCACTAGTGGAATACATTCAGCGATGTGTGTGACATTTTGTGAGGGTCTGGTGGGCACTGAAACAACAGCAGGAAAATATTTGCTTAAACGTTTATTTTTATATTATTTTTCACAGCCACATTGTGCTTCACATAAACACATAATGCAAAGAAAGAGATCCACAAATAAGCAAAAAAAAAAAAAAAAAAAAAACAAAGCAACCTGAACCCCAATTATCTATTAAAAAACAATGAAGTCAACAGCGTGAATAAAATACAGGTTTACTCCACAGTAAAAATTAATCTACAAAAAAAAATGTTTTGAAACAGTCAGGCTGAGAAAGCGCTCTGGTTTGAATAAGCCTTTAAAGGTGATGGAAATGCTGAAAATACTGATGTAGCAGACAGACTTCACTCCTTCCTCATTTTGGCAGTGACTAGAGAGGAAAAACAGACAAGCAGGAGTTTTAGTTTTTCTCTGTAAATACTTTATTATTTATTTCTGTGTGTGTTTATTTTTAGCATGACTTACGATCTTTGACCCACTGAGCTTTCGGATCAGCACAAAGTTGTCCTATTCTGTTTGAAACTGGAAATAAAAGACAGAAAATTATAGAGATTGTATATGTTTGTATGTAGGACAACGTGTGCTGACTTACATTATAGCCTTCACACAGCGTCCGCTTGCAGCCTGCTCACGATATGTTTCCCCCACCACCTCAGGGCTCATATCGATGTCAGTGACATCAACGCAGCACGGGCGTTTACTTCCAGGACCAGGTGGACCTGAGAGGTAGGAGGTTAAAAACTAATTTATCTGACCTGAGAAAGTCTGATTAGAAACTCAAAAGTTAACTCCAGGTTTAAAACGTGATGAAACTCCTTACATCGCAAAACAAGACAAATGTTACCTGAAATTATGTGAATGTAAGCATTTATTTTTACACTTCGACAGAAAATGAAGGTCACAGAGAGGCAAAAAAGGATATGAAAACTAATAAACCATGTTTCTGTCTTCTAATATCTCTGATAAAAACAGTGCATGAACATTTTTCTGAGGTTGTGAATCACATATTGTCAATACTCTCTCTTTATATACATTTCTATTATTTCTATAATGGAGGGTGTGTGATCGTTTCCTTTGTGTTTGTTTCCTGGATCACTGAGAAAGTTTCCATAAACACTTTTTAACAGAAGTCTCAGATTGTTCTGGCTTTTATTCTCCAGTACAGCACACCAAATTCCTTTCCAGAGGATCAAAATGAGAAAACACATTAAGCTTAATTTGCTAGCAACGGTTATTATATGAAAAACATGACTTTCCAGAGTCTAGGCTGTTAGTGGCTTCCCATGATGCACTCAGTGTTTCTTCAGAGTCTCACTTATTATATGTTTAAACATCATTTTCTGTTTAATGACACATTTTTAAATCTCTGGATCTCTTTCACAGTATGTTTGTAGTACTGTCTTCTACCCCTCAACCCTATAGGTCCCTACAGATGGTTGCCCCTCCCTGACCCTGGATCTGCAGGAGGCTACTTCCTTACTGTTACTTCCTCATGGGGAGTCATATAATTTTATCTGTATTATTGTATCTTTACTTCACAATTTAAAGCACCTTGAGGTGACTGCTGCTGTGATGTCATATTATATGAATAAAACTGGATTATACTGAAAATTAATAATGTTTACTCATACAAGACAGAATTAAGAGGTGCAGGTAGCTGAACGCTGAACAGAATTATCCCATAGCTGCAACATATCATGTTATACTCTGTGTCTCTGTGTCACTATTTCCTGCTTGTAGATCACACCATCACACTTAACCAATGGGTCACAATGTATACACCCCTCACAGAAAAAACCCCATGAAAACAGCATCAAGATCTGACTACAGATTTAGCTTGAAAGAAACCACTGCACACTGTGCCACCATAGTAAGGTTTGAGTTATGACAGTCAAAAGGGCGATGCAAATGATGCCGAGCATGCAACACCCCATAAAACATAATTCTCTAATGTCACTGGAAATAAAATATATATAGTTTAATTATTGTTAATTTTAACCAATCAACCAAGTCCTTACAGAGCGGTCATACCCAATAAAACCGCCAAAAAGTTAGACGTGTACCCCAGCATCACAAATAGCTAGAAGCCATTGTTGGAAAAAGTCATGCTGTGATCAGTTTTATGTATTTTATTCTTTTTGTTTTCCATTAGAAAGTGAGAGCATAGTTACCTGCAGAGTAGCTGAAGCACACACACATTGAGTGCAGGAGGAGAGTGATGGAGAGGATCTTCACAGACATTTTCACCGGTGGTCTGGCTCACTGATCAGGTTGAAACTATATCAGTTGATTCGTGTTTGGTTATTTATTGGTAAGTGCAAGAACATTCACAGGCAGAACTGATGACGTGTTTTAACAAGTCCTTGTGGTGCATGGTGTGGCATCTCAGACCTCCGCCCCTTATCAGGGAGATCTGAGTGTTTCAAACCACCAACAGACTCGCCTGTTTCCAAAGAAACACATACAAAGTTTGCAGACACTTAAATATAGTGTACAAAATAATTGATACAAACAGTTTATGTATTGTCACAAATGATGGATCTAAATCACACGTTGATTATTGTTTTTCCATTTTAACTAACTGTGAGTGTTTATCTCTTGCAGGCCTCAAGTGAAAAATAATCGTGCGTCACGATGCCTCTTAACGATCCTGATGCACATCTATTTACATTTGCATGATTTGTTAATGTTTGGCTGCTTATTTTTCATCTATAAATCCCCACATCTTAAACTTTTGTTTAAGCCATTAAAGTCTCACTGAAAACTAAAGGACCTCTGTCAGTGCACCCCAGGGCAGCTGTGGCTACAATGTAGCTTGCCATCACCAGTGTGTGAATGTGTGTGTGAATGTGTGGAGGACTGAATGTAGTGTAAAGCGCATTGGGGACCTTAGGGACTCAGTAAAGCGCTATACAAATACAGGCCATTTACCATTTACAAAGTAGTGAAACGCTCTCATTGCTTATTTCATTTAGGTGTACTTTTGGCAGATGATCAGGTAACTTTCACACTCTGCTCTGGAGGAAGTGTGTGACAGAAAAGTATTTGTGTCGACTGTGTTAATCTTCCAACACACACACATGCAAAGTCAAAAATTTTTGACACAGGATGTGCACTACTAACGTCCCACCTCGTGCATCAGCGCTCTTTTATTTCTGCCTAAATTTGTGGACATGGCTGTTTTTGGGTGTATGGGTTCATTTCCCTGTTGCATGATCAAATTTCAGGCAAACATTAACTGTCAAACAGATGGCCTCACATTTGACCGTATACAGAGGAGGTCATGGTTGATTCAATAAGTGCAAGGGATCCTGGTCCTGTGGCTACAAAGCGAGCTCAAGTCACTCCTCCACTGTGATTGACAGTTGAGGAGTTTGTGCTTATATGCTGTATTTGGTTTTCACCAAATGTGGTGTTGAGTATTATCACCAATAATCCCCACTTTGGTCTCATCTGTCCAAATGACATTCTTTCTGGAATCTTTTAGTTGCTTATAAAATAACATGTTACACCGCATTACTGAATTGCATTTTTTCAATAATGCTGCAATGTAACCCGTTAATGGACTACATTCAGTAATTATTTTGCAGTTACAATTATATTGATTTATATGCAGCTATCGGCAAACAAAATGCTTTTTTCTTCCAGTTTACTTGTGCTGCAATCATCTGATTTCAGTTTGTGTTTGGGAGGAGGAACTTGGTGGTGCAGTAGAGTGATACAGCTTTTGAGGAATACAGACATGGAGATTACTTTTATTTTTATTGCACAAAAGCACAAAAGTATGGAAAAGTGCAAACTGTATCCAGGACAGAAGAACTGCATTAAATTGCCAACATAACTTGGGCTCTTTGCAAACATCTGCACAGACCACATGCTAACACAAAGCTAGCCAAGAAGTTGAGAGCATGCTAGCCGCTGATCTTCAGCAGGTAACAAAGGCAGTGATGAACAGGCAGTTGTGCAGCCTTAGGTTTTACCTGTTCATACTCCTAGAAGTAACTTAACTTTTTGTGTTCAGCTTTGTGTTCATAAGTTAAAATCCAAACAATACTATGTGAGTCCTCATCAGGGTAGGGATTGGTGCTGGTGTTCGGAACTGTAGGCTAAGTTAGGTTTATATTGTTAACTGGTAATTAAGTGAAACTTTGTGTTATTACCTCATCTATTACTACTTCATAACTGGAATAATTAGAGGTTGTTTAAAGTCGTGTTGCTGTCGTTCCCATTTTCTCATTTTTCTTGCAGCAAGAGGAAGGTTTAGTGTACATACCTGCCTTAAAAAGCCCGTCATGAAAGTCTTTCAACATAATCAGTTTAATGATTGTGAAACTTGCTTTGTGCCATTCCTCTTTCTTCTTATTTTGCTTGTTCCCACAAACGTTTATGCACTTTTTTCTTAGGTTGCGTTCTTTATCTGATATGGTAATACATATTTGAGTTTATGTTACTTCCTGTTTAAACTACACTTGTAGAAATAGTCAAACCAAAGATAAGACAACCACAAAAGCATATTTCCTGTTTATTTAGTAGGAAATAGGTTTGTAAGAGACATGTTCCTTAATTTGATGGTGTGAGTGTCTAACTCTCCAGTACAACTGCTAAATGAAGATTAAACTTAATAATTCAATAAGTATATTTATAAGTATCATATTAATAAAAACATTTACTTAAGGACTCGAAAGCGAAAGTAATTTGTTGCACTGCTTCTCACATTACTTTTACTCGCATATCATATAATTAGCATTTAACTTTATAAATCTAAGTCTACAGTCCCACATACCAACCCAAATCGCTATCTTAGTATCGATTTAACATATGATGTTTCTGAGGTTTCCTGACAAACAGGAGTTCAAATGGAGAAAATCCCATGAAAGCCAGGGTCACCTCCTGCACTGCAAACAACAGAGGTTCTAGCCAGTGACCCCAGTGGCATCGACCCTCTTGAATTAATGTATGAATCATGGACTTCAAGGTCTTTTTCAGCTCCACTAGCTCATCAATGTCAGCATAGTATATACTAGTCCAATTAGATTCAATGTGCCTCCTTTATTGGTCAGATGAATGGTCACTGAGTATCTCTACATTCTAATTGGTTCAGAGTATTGTGTACGATCTACTAAAACAAAACAATAGCCCTGTGCATGCCAGTAAATAGGCCCAATGAGGTCCATACCAATACACTCAAACAGGACACAAAGGCCCTTTGGAATGGTCATTTGGTTTACTAACTGCTATCCAGGCTGGATGCACACCTCTGACACCCATCTCCTGGAATGCCTGGCCAATACAATTGACCTTTAACTCGATCCAGAGTTTTCTCATATCCTCTGTGACCAGATATCAGGTTATAATGAGCTGCCTGGAAGATTAATTCCCAGTGGGCTTTAGGCTCCAAAAACTGGGTGTGTTTCTCTGCAGTGGGAGTGTAACGCCTCACTCTGTACAATCTATCCTTCATTACAAAATGGGAGTTGGCTATGCTGCATTAGGGCTGGTGCTACTTCCCCAGTAGAAGTGTCGGATAGCCTGGCATTGCTGCTGAACACAGCACAGATACCATCCTAGCTATCGTAAGCATATCCCCAAGGATTGTCCCACCAGTTTGTTAAACCCATGCCAATCTGTCTCAGGACCCCTAAGGGGCAAACGTAACTCAAATAAAAGTGCATAATACTAGATTATTGAGCTCAACTGAAAACACCAAGGGAATCTAATTCTGGGAATGTATCAGGATATTTTTATGAATTTGGTGTGCATTCAAACAACAAGAACAAACTGGTGCTATAAAACAAAAGTTTATTTTCATGTAGTTTTTTAAAGCCAAAATGTACTTTGTGTAAACACATAAAAACACAACAAGAAATTCATATATGAGCAAGAAAAAAGACACAAAGCCAGAACTCCAATGAGTTCACCATCTTGCCTTTAAAGATGGTGAAAATACTGATGTAGCAGACAGGTTCAACTTTATCATTTTGGCAATGACTGTAGAGAAAAGACAGAGAAAGGAGAGCTTCAGATTTTCTCTGCAAATATTTTTTTTATGTATTTCTGTGTGTCTGTATTTCTATGACTTACGATCCTTGACCCACTGAGCGTTTGGATCAGCACAAAGCTGTCCTTCCTTTGTGTTGAAACTGGAAATAAAAGAGAGAAGGTCATACAGATTGTATGTGTTTATGTTTTTCTGGAGGACAACATGTTTTGACTTACATTATAGCCTTCACACAGCGACCTGATCTAGCCTGCTCACGATACGTTTGTCCCATCACCTTAGTGCTCGAATCGCGTTGGGTGACGGCAGTGCAGCATGGTCGCGGTACTGTAGGAAGACGATGAGCTGAGAGGAAGAAGGTTAAAAATTAATTTCTGGATTGAGAAAAGTCTTTATGAAAATCAAAGTGAATGCCAATGTGACCATTAAACAAATATTAGTCATGCAAGTTAATGGCCTTTTTTGTTCCCAACATTAGGTACTTTTTGCAGTGATCTCGCATAGAAAACTATGCCGCACGTATATAAAACAGGTCCGCAGCTCCGAACCGTAGTAAAGGGACCTCTGGCCAATACATCGGGTTCCGTGTCGGGCTCGTAGCCAAAAACTAGCTTTACTTTGTTGTCTGGGTCAACTTTGCTAGCGAGAGACAGAGAGAGGCGTTGAAAGGCTGCTCCAGCGTAACTTATTGTTTCGGAGGAAAACACGAACACAGTGTACAGACGAGCCTTAACAGCTTACTGACAACTTGGCTCGTCAGGCACTCTTTTTGGCTGCAGTGGTTATCATTATACAGTGGGATACAAAAGTTTGGATAACGTTGTTAATAGTCATTATTTTCCTGTATAAATTGTTGGTTGTTACAATAAAAAATGTCAGTTAAATATATCATATAGGAGACACACACAGTGATATTTGAGAAGTGAAATGAAGTTTATTTGATTTACAGAAAGTGTGCAATAATTGTTTGAGTTTGATGAAAAACAGCTTCATGAGTCCGATTTTCTGAAGTTGTGAATCACATATTCTCACTATTCTGGTAGTTACTTTTATAACTGAGGCTATGTCCTGTTCACTCAGAAACAGCATCAACATCTGCCTAGAGAGTGAATTAGCTTGAAAGAAACCACTTCACACTGTGCCAGCATAGTAAGTTATGGAAACATAATATCCATCCATCCATCTTCATCCGCTTTATCCGAGGCTGGGTCGCAGGGGCAGCAGCCTAAGCAAAGAGGCCCAGACCTCCCTCTCCCCAGCCACCTCCTCCAGCTTATCCGGGGGAATACCAAGGCGTTCCCAGGCCAGCCGAGAGATATAATCTCTCCAGCGTGTCCTGCCCCGGGGCCCACCTCCCGGTGGGACGTGCCTGGAACACCTCACCCAGGAGGCGCCCAGGAGGCATCCTTGTCAGATGCCCGAACCACCTCAGCTGGCTCCTTTCGATGTGGAGCAGCAGCTGCTCTACTCTGAGCCCCTCCCGGATGGCCGAAATTCTCACCCTCATACATAATATGTATACTTTAAATATCATGATGATTAACCAACAAGAATGTGACTGATATAAAGATTAATGGTAAAAGAAACTATGAGAGTCCTTACAGAGTAGTCATTTCCAATAAAACCAAAGAAAGCTAGGCGCCTTAGTCAATGGTGTAATCAGTTTTACGTACTTTCTCTCTTTTTGTCCTTTAGGAAAGTAAGAGCACAGTTACCTTCAGAGGAGTGGCAGCACACACACATTGAGAGCAGGAGGAGAGTGATGGAGAGGATCTTCACAGACATTTTGACCGGTGGTCCGATTTGCTGATCAGGCTGTAACAAAAAGTTCATCAGTGCTTGGATATTTATTGGTAAGGGTAGGAAGATTTGCAGGAAAAAGAAGTGACGGCGGGTTATTTTAATACGTGTTTATTTGTGTGTGTGGTTGTATCATAATCACACCTCCGCCTCTAAATAGAGAAACTTTAATATTTCAAACCGCCAACTGCTTGCTGAAAGCTTTCCGAGAAATAGCCTCACATTAGGAAATGCACAGACATGTCTTATGGTCTACAGCTTGATTGATGCCAACAGTGTGTGCATTGTGATTATTGACGAATCTAAATTACCCACTCATCTGAGTAGAGTCCTTTTTTTCTCCTCCTGTACCCGATGTTGTGTATTTTATTTTACTTTTTTAAATGTTACCTATTCTGACCTGTCTTCCCTATGTGATGTTTGATGTTTTGATGTTGGCTCAAAAAATCTCTAGACCCAGCAGTCTTAGCTAATTATAGGCCAATCTCCAACCTTCCTTTCATATCAAAAATCCTTGAAAGAGTAGTTGTCAAACAGCTAACTGCTCATCTGCAGAGGAATGGCTTATTTGAAGAGTTTCAGTCAGGTTTCAGAGCTCATCACAGCACAGAAACAGCTTTAGTGAAGGTTACAATAATCTTCTTATGGCCTCTGACAGTGGACTCATCTCTGTGCTTGTCCAGCTAGATCAGGGGTCGGCAATCCTAGGCACGCGAAGGGTTAACTGATGGCACGACCATAGCTGGACTGATCATACTGGGCATTTACTCAGTGGGCCGATGGTGATTTTTCGTTTTTATGGGCCGATGTTTTTTTTTTTTTTTTTGTAACGTTATAAACAATGAAAGGTGGTGGATTGGCCAGATGCTGGCCGGTGTGTAAAACTAACTCAGTTGTTTGGTGGTGGCTATGGCGGTGCTTCCACAGATTCAGTAACATTAGCAAGTGGTGGAGGCCAGCAGGTG